AGCCAAGGGAAAAGTTTTGCTGAATAAAAATGTCTCATGAGATGAGGCTCTCAATGAACAGGTATTTAACCTGCTCACCCTTAGAGAACACCAACGGAGCCTTTTCTCTTGGAAAAGCTTCTGTGCCAAAAAAAAAAAAGAAATCTTCTTTCTGTCCCACAGACCTAAGAGCAGAAAAAAGATGCAACAGCTTTCATTAATAAAAATATAACTCTCCCTAAGTAAAGCTTTTACTTTGAGAAGGTGAAGTGTAGTAACTGCATTGAATCTACTGTCTACTTTATTGTTGCACCTTTTCTCCTAAAACTATATGGAGAAAGATGCTGTATATGCGGGAGGACACTGGGAAGCAGTACAAGACCTTTTTAAATGGATAGGTCAGGAAAAAAAAAAAAAAAAAAAGGAATAGTAGTTACAACACTGAAAGAAAGGAAATGAACTGCTGAATATTCATAATCTAGTCTCTTTGTTTTGTTCCTTGCACTCAGTCTCAGCATTTGCTGCTGTAGCTAGCCTGCAGGCATACAACCCACCCTGGCATCTCACTGTAGACCAAGAGGTTCTGACAGAAAGAAAAAGTGAGACAGTTTCCTCCTCTTCCCTTCACCAAACCAGCACATTCCAAGCAACGGCATTCTATAACACACACCAAAAAAAAAAAAAAAAAAAAAAAAAAAAAAAAAAAAAAGCATATCTTACTGACATGAGTGATTTATAGCCCAAGCTAGAAGTCGTCAGTGTTTTTATTAGAAATGATGATTCCCAGTCATGGTGCTTTTTAGTTATGTGCATAATTAATGGTAGCTTATGAAAGCTGCCAATGACACTCATCACCAGTGGATGTTCTTATAATATCTGTGTGGATCTGAATGCCTAATGAAGTTTTGTCTGTGTTTTAGGATTCAAAATGAATAATGCAAGGCTGAAAACCAAAACTAATGAGGAAACCACTATTTGCTCAGTAAGCAATAGAGACAAGGATGTAGATACAAAGTCAAGAAGCCAAAAGAGGCCCAAACTCCTCTGTAAATAACGAGTTGTGTGTTTGTTTTCTTTAAAAAAACAAAAACAAAAAAAACCAACTATTATTACTAAAATGTATCTGCAAACCAGAAATTCTAAACTACTTTATTGAAAGCTTTAGAACAAGCAAATACTTTGTTCACCCACTCATCAAAACAGGGAGAGGCAACAACGAAAGCCTTGACTGCAGAGCTCTGGCCTCAACAACACAGCTCTACTGCTGATAAAAGGTCAGTCTCTGGACTGCACTCATCAGTTTTTCTGAGTTCAGCATGACATGCAGTGATTTAATTTTGGTGGTGTGTTTTTGGTAATTTCTTATTATGTACATGCATGCATAATTTTGAAGACTAAAGGGCTGTGTGATCAGCTACCACTTGCAACACGCAAATGTTTATAGTGAGAACACTACCCAGTTTATATCATATTACTGCAATAGCATTATAGCACTTTAATTCCTTAATCATATAATTATATTCTAGAACAAAATTTTGCTTTTGCCTTCCTCTCAAGAAGCACTTCCTGGACCAAATACTTCAGTTTCGTTTGAATGTCTATGTATTATTATAAATCTCACACAAAAACAAACACTACTAATACTCCGAGAAGTGCTGGCAATGGTTATGTTTTCAAGTAATATTTATTTTCATTACACGTAGCCCATTGCCTTTTGGATTTATCAAAATATTTACTTATGGGAATGGCTTTATTCAGTGCTTTGTGGATCACCAATTACAGATTAAAGAGCAAGGTCATAAAATATTGATAAAAATCATTAGCTACAGTTTTCTTCATTTACCATGGCACAAACACATGCTGCTGCAATCTTAATTTTATTCCCAAGGAAATAAATTATTTCACGAACACCATTTAATTGCTAGAACACTTGAAAAATGAAAGAAAGAGAAAGAAAGAGAGAGAAAGAATGAACCTATTTACAACTTTCAACTTTCTGTTTATGTATTTACCTCACCCATACACTCTGACGATCTGAAATAAATGTCCCAGACCCAGAGCTTGAGCTCTGCAGGCATGCTATACTCCTGAAGTAATATAAACAACAACTGGAGCTGCAGCTCCTCAGACATACCTGTAATTGGGTTCTTTACAAGATCAAAAAGTGATGCATTGATTTTTTCTCTTGATGTTCTCAAATGTCATTCTATTTATCATATCAGACTAATAATAGAGGGGATGTTGCCATGAGGCCAGATATGAATTAGTAATTGGGTTCCTCAGACAAAGGTCGTAATTTGTTTTCTGAAAGCTGCTCTAGAAACCCTTTGCTTCTGGACAAAATTATTTCTCACTTTTCTAGCAGCCAGTCTAAATCTTCAACACATGCCTAACATTACCAAACAGGACTGTACTCTGTATGAGACAGAAGGAGGAAGGCAAAAACCAGCTGGGACTACCTTTCTCCCTGTGCAAAACGGGTACAAGTTACAGCTGGCAGAAGATCCCTCACTGCCCCGGGTACCAAAAGCTGCAGTGTGTGCTGGATTGGGGGCAGGGGCAGAGCAGGTCAAATTCCCGGAGGAATAAACGAAGAATCACATTCTATTTTTCACACAGATGAGCTGTCACTTTAACAAGAAAAGCCAGTGGATTTGGGAGCAGGGTGGGCTGCAGTCACTATCGACACTGGTTTTGACATAGTTATGGAACCTCACTTTTCCATAAATACAGAAAGTTTTCATTGAATCCTGCTTATTAATCGCAATTACAAATAAATAAATAAATAAATAAATCTTAAAGCTCCAATATCCAGATAAAAACAATAGCATTAACTAATTTCACAAGGTGTGGAGTAAAATCCAAGCAAAAGCGTAGCAAATGAGTAGTGCAAAACAATGTCCTTCCCCTGCCTTCAGCATTACCAGAGCAGGTGCGGAAGGACCACAGGCCCTCTCCCAGCACAGCAGACATCCACAGAGCCTGCAAGTATGGGCAGGAAGCATCACACATCCACACACTTCAAACGAGTTACCCGACACAACCTGGTGAGTGCTTGCAGGAGTTATTGATGCAAGCATAAGCTTCTCTTCCTATATAGTTTATTACTTAGGTTGTTTTCCTAACCTCATTTTAAATCTGGATGGAGATTTTCAGCATAAATAACGAGCAGATACTTTGGTCCCCCTGTTGTACTGAAGTTGTTTTTCTCAGTTGGTTTTCAGAGCTCCTACCGGGTTGTTAATGAGCTGTCAATTATTTGTGCAAATTGGGAGGCAGGCATGGAAAAGTGGCTACACTGGAAGAGAAACATATTCCCTCAAATCTTGAGAAATGCAACACTGACTTTTAAGGACTCTTTTTACTGCTGAATCGTCATCAATATCAGTACAAACTCTACTGTATATAACAGAGCTGACCATTTAAAATGGATCCACATCTGCATTAAAAACCAAAAAGGAGTAAGATACTTTCTTAAACTCTGAGACGTACTTCAGCAGATACATTCAGAGCAACATTTTGAATTGGAAGTATCGAAAAAAGCACTCTTCTGCTGGAAGAAGACACATCAACTACCAATGGTAGCCGGTTTGATGAGTTTTGTTTTCATAAATAATAACCAGTTCCTCTCTTTCTGCTCTTAAAAGGAGCTTCCTATTGTGGCCTATTGTTCTTATCCCTGTATATAAAGTTTCTGCTTTCTCAGCAGCCACAGACAGCTGCTCAACCTTTGGTGCAACTTATGGAAACAAATTGGTGGTGGTGAAGGTGGAAAAGGGGGGTGGCAGGGAAACCTGGGAACCTACTAAAGCAGATCCAAGTGAAACTTGTTTCATCAGGGCTGAAAACACCATGGGAGTTCTTCTCTCTCTCTCTCTCTCTCTCTCTCTCTCTCCCTCTCCCTCCCTCTCCTTCTCTCCCCATTGCTTTATCCTCTGCTACTTATTTCCACCCCACAGTTACATTAATACTAATTGCGTGTGGTTATATATATATATCTATATTTCCAGAAAGAGCAGGAAAGGTTTAATTTTTATTCTGATTGAACAGAAAGTAAAAGGGTGACTTGAGTCAATGCCACTGAAGTTTAGATATAGGCAAGTGACTACCTAGCATTATTTTCTCCATGCATTTTTTTACCCAGCTATATGCACAAGCAGCACACACCACCATCTGCTCAACTGGAGCACAGCCCCTTTCACCAGATGCCACTCTGAATTTAAGTCATCTAGGTAGCAAGCAGAAGTTGTTGCCACGATCTGTTCTGCCTTTACACCAGTCTTATTATAATGCCCCACATCTGAAAGCTCCAGCTTTCCTGCCATCAATTTAATTGCTTGATAAACAGAGCAGAGGCCAAGGACTGGGTAGGAGAATCAGCTGCATTTCCATCCCAGCCTTGCAGGGTGCTCCAGGTTAGTGTTGGAGGAGAAGTCAAACAGTTTTTGAACAGCTGCTACACACGTTCCATTTAAAAGATACAAGTAATTTCAGTCTCCAGTCATCATACCCTACCCATTACATTTCACAAAAAAGTTTATTCAAGAAGGAGACAAACTAAATGCACTTTTATTGCAGGCAGATTTATTTAAGTGACATCTGCTGAAATCTTCTGCCTAGGAATACAGACCCACCAAAAGCAGAAATAAAACTTTGAAGATGCTGGAATGGGGCCAGCTGCAGCTCTGCAAGCTTATGTGCTGCTACAAAATCTGAAGTACCAACAAACAAAGAAGCAGAAGAAAAAAAAAAAAAAAAAAGTGCTAAGTGTTTGGATCTTCTACCGATTTAGAAGTGCAATGCTCTTAATTCATATTAGCAGCAAAATTTAGTGATTTAAGCATACAATTGTAACAGGACCTTTACCATGCACAATGGATGAAGGAGCTGATGGGTAAACTGTATTTCTTTATTGCTGTTAAATCATTGCAGAAGTTATTACCACAACTCATTACCACCTTATCTATATCACAATCAGACCCAGAGGTATCAGGTGACATAACTGGAAGCAAAGTGACTTGCCTATGGGCAAACAGATGATGAACAGAATTAAAATTGAGATCTCCTGAGTCTCAGACCAGATTCTTATAATCACTGTTTTGCTGCTGCTACCATCTGTAATGCCTGAAAAGCCACTTCCAGTGGGGAAAGCATTACAACAAAAGAAGGTAATTTATTTTAAATTGATTTCTGGGATTTTACTTTTTTTTTTTTTTTTTTTTTTTTTTACAGATTTGGTAAATTTTCTTGACATTGAGCTTAGATATCAAGGGGGAAAATGATATTTTTGTTATAGAAACAGCATCTGGTAGTGTAACACTTAGTAACACTTAGTTAAAGGAAAAAATAGACGCTAACAGCACCATCTCAGAAACCTGCACATTTAAATTGGCTACAGATCTACTAAGTTTCCTATCTAAACAAACCAAACCAAACAAACAAAAAAAGAGATGATATTATCCACTGAAGTTTTTAAATAATGGGCTGCTCAAAGAGAAATCTGAAGAGACTATACACCACAAAGCTTTCTGGTAAGAAGAAAGCCTTCCATCTGAGGGAACCATGAAAAATAGACCCACATGACCTTTTTTGCAATTGGAAAATTAGCAGTAATGAAGAAATTATTGCAGTCTTTACTGCATTTTAAATGCTTCATTACTCTATTTTTCCATTATAAAATGAGCATTTAAGCAGATTTAAGATGTAATTGTTCTCCAAAATATGTATATCTTTTCCCTTTAAGAAAAATAATATCAAGAAAGACATCACTCCAATTTTTCTGTTTGGTGAAATGTCTGTCACAATGTGCCATATAGACCACAACCTAAATAAATTATAGGAGTTGAAGAGCCAAGAGTATACACAGCATCCTTCAAGACACTGAAAGTAGAATTTAATGCTCTGTTCCTAATATTGTTCCAATATTATTCCTAACATATGTTCCTAATAGTCTGTTCAGCTTTAGCACTTAGCAGTTCATTTCTCAAAACAACTAAGATGACAGTATCTCAGGATCTTTTAACACTGAAAAGCATTTTTCTCATCCTAAAATAGATAAGGTCTGAATACCGATGTGTTTTGTTGTACAGACTTCCACACGCACACTGTTGACGATGAAGGGCTGAAATTCAAGCATTATCAAAACATAGCTATTAGAAGTGAAACATTTTAAACAAGGGCAGACAAATGTTCTCCTTACATGTCATCCTGCATTTAAGAATACAGTCCTGCCCTCACGGAAGCCAAGATTTCCTCCAAGGTATTAACATAACGCATATTAACAAATACATCTGCATATTAATTCTCTACTAGCAAGAATCAAAATATGGAAATCGACAGTACATGCATAACTAATAGGACTTGGCACCTTTCCAGCAGCTTGACTAGAAAACAGCGACAGAAACTCTGCTGTCAGTAATCATATTGGAAGTAGAAGAAAAAATCTGCTAAGTATTATTTTGAGTTTACAGCAGCATAGCCAGGAATGGAGCCCAAAATATTATTTCCTCAAACATGCCTTATTATAAAAAAGTTTCTTTTCTCCCACATGAATGTTTCAGTTCACTGAGGTATTTCTAGGTGAATTGCACAGCACACAGAGAACTGGGTTTGATGACTTCCTGTGGAAAAAGTATTCACAGTGAATTTCAGTAGGAATTTCATTAAATTCCCAGTTTGCCTTTAACACTATTTAAGAAAAACATTCACACAGTGAATGGTTAATTTCATGACCTCTAAAGGATGCGTATGCCTAACATGTTATGAGTTGCATGGGCAAATCAATCAGCAAATGAAAAGGACAAATGCCATGGAGATTTATTTATTTTTTTTTAATGTTAAGTATCACAAGACTTCTTCTTTAGCACAGATAAGCTTCGTTATGCTACTACACTGCAATCAACTATGACTGCTTTTATTATGTGAGTAATGGGCAGAATTAAACAAAGCATCTGGCATAGTAGATTTGACCTTTGAAAAAAGAGCTCTACATTTTTCTCCCCAACAGTTTATGCTATTTCATTTTGGTAACCTTTGTAAAGAAGTACATTCAGCATCCTGCCAGTAGTACAGATCTCACAGTGTGCTAAAAATCAGTCACAAATTCCTACCTAAAATGAAACTGAAAGAGATATTGCTACATTCTTTTCAACACAATCTTATTCGATTAATAGTAAAGATTTAACATATTGATGTAAAAACTGTTACGTTTGACTTTCCATGAAATAATTACTCACAGTTATGTCAAAATCTATGTGCCCTGATCTTAGCAATATGGCTTGAAGAGTTGCATGAATATCCAGCAGGACCTGCACTCCCCTCCCAAGCAGTACAGTATTTTACTTCTAAGTTGTATCATGCCCACCAGAGCTGAGGAAAAGCCTCTGACCTCCTGTTCTCCCTGTGCAAAATGATGCTGAGTTATACCAATGCTAGCATCACTCTGTGTCCTCCACAAAGATACTGAGCATCATCAGCACAGAGACAGATCAAGGCTCTTTATCAGTACAGGCTGAAGCACAAGGCTGGGACTATGTTATTCCTGCCAAATTTTCCTTCTCTTTCTGAAGGAAGAAGAAAACCCCATCTGGGCATAATGAGCCGTAAAGCAGCCCTGGAGCTCTGGGTTTCTGTGGTGTGCCATGAAGAGCAGGAGGGACAGCGGCTGCACTAAGAAAGCCTCCCCCAGCTACAGCCTTCTTCCTCCTTATCAACAGCAGCAGTGAAACTAGAAAACCTGGCTCTGTGGTGTTGGCCCATAGGATCCATTTTGCTGTCTCCTACAGCTGCCCACTCTAGGCAACTGCCTTCTTTCCTCGCACTGACTGCAGAAATATCATCAACCCTTTGAATCAGAATTGAACCTACTATTGCAACGCTGGTTCTGATGTTTGTCATAAAGGCAGCTGCCCTAAACTGAGAGCAGTGCTTCTTGCGTGTGCCAACCAGCAGACACTAACCTCATGTCAAGCAAAAATGTCATTCATACCAAAACAGTATTTTAAAATATGTGGAAACAACTTTCTTGCTATAGCCTTTATCATTTATGACAGGAAGATCTTTAATATATGGGTAAATTTCAATTTGGAGAAATCAATAGTCTTAAATAATAACTAAGATTTCAGGTCTTTCCATCTCAATGCAAAATAACCTACCATTAACTTTACAAATGAGAATCAAGTTAAAAGGCTTCTAGCAAATTACCAGTGAATCACCAGAATTTGCTTCAGGCAGAGATATTAGTCCTAAATTGTTGCCAGTGATATATAGCTTCAGCATTTTTTATTGCTAATTTGCAGTGGTTTCTCATACTCTTTTTCTAATGGATCACTACATGAGCCAGGTAATTTGTACTGCTGCCAATAACTGTCTCAAGGTAAAGCTGTTTAGGTAGACCAAGAAGAATGCACACCAAGAGGGAGCCTTCTAAAATAATTCCAAATTAAAGCATTGTTACAAAAAAAAAAAAAAAAAAAAAAAAAAAAGGAATCAACAGGATAGAAAGCTATGTACTGACGTATCTAGTTCCAAAAATCAAGGCCTTCACAAATAAAATACTATCTTAGTAATATACTGTTATGCACTGGCTTTCCTGCTTTTTAAAAATTCTGTTCATTTTCTTGTATGCTATAAAATACATGCTGGATCAGAGTGTACTCGGAAGCATTACAAACAGCCACACAGGCATCCAGAACTAAATTGTAAAACTACGGGAAATAAAATATGAAGAATTTACATACACACCGAGATTTCTTATCCTGCTCCAAACTGTGATCAGCTATACAATCCACCTTAAACATTAAATCTTTATAAACTGAATCAGCTATATGAAGGCCAGTGTTAAATAAGAATAATTTATGTATAGTAAGAATGATTTAAACAAAAACTAATTAAATCTCAAATTAAGAAGTATCAGTCATAAGTGATACTTAATTCATCTTTAATATGACATGTTCTTTCATATTTGTATTTGACTACAGTATATTTTTCTCTTCCAACAAACCTGTATTTATTCTTGGCAGACAACTGAGCAGCACTGAAGAGTGTCAGCATCAACACAATCTATTCAGTGTCAGCAAAGGACACTGGAAAGGGTCCTCCAGGGAGCCGAGCTCAGTCCCTAACTAGTGCCTGAGCAGATAGCGTGATTAGCTCTGTGCTTACACGCCTGTAAGTAACGTGCGTACTACACAAATGGAGACCAAACTGTTTCTTTGCTGAGCTCCTGTGTATGTACATACAAGTACTGAAAACCTGTTTTCACATCCTTGAGGTTTGTTTTCATATCTTTCCACTAAATTCAGACAGATTGGTATAGAGGTGGTGTGATCACTTTGCAAAGGCAGGCAGTCTATATCCTTATCCCCATCCCTATAAACCAATGGCAACTTTTTGTCTGTATCTCTGATATCTTCCCATTCTGTAAGTTTAGAGAACATCTTCAAACTTGGAAAGACCTACAGAAGTATTTTGACCTTATCCTGTGATCAGTAAGCAGCAATAGGATCATCTACATTAAGCATGAACTTGCAGTACTCATTCTGCATTAAACGCACAGTACAGCTTTCACCTCACCCGTCCTCTGACTGGTTTGGGGCATCTAAAAAGTCAGAGCCACCAGGAAACACAAGGCACCAAATTCAGGTCAGTCTGTATGAATCTGGAACTTTCTATACATATGTATAAGCTGACAATGCTGGAATGCAGCTGCCAACTACTCAAGACTCTTTCCTCAAAGACAACACCTTTACAAGGCATTTGCAAGCTCCTCGGCTGGTGGGTCAGACAGATTTAAACACATTCACTTTTTTGGCATCTGGCATGTTTCTGTGGAGCACAGTGACAATATGCTACCTTACCCTGCAGTGATATGAGCAGGGAAGAGATCAAATGCAAGAAATAGGCTTGACAGACGGTCCCAATTCGGTGCTCCTGTCCTTCAGCGCACAGAGCTGTAGAGGCTGGGACATGAGTAGCTAAAATGGGAGGAAAACAGACCTCCTCAGGGATGGCTGACTTGCGACTTACAGCAGTGGTTCTTCTCTCCTGTCCCCATGAGAGGGTTGGTAATAGCAGGAATGTCAGACCCCTGTTGTCTCTGCCTGGTCAGACACTAGTAGAGAAGCTGAACACCCGAGAGCAGATAATAATATGGTAAGAGAGATGTGTTCTTCAGGATCTCACTCAATTTAACTTTTAATAACATTTTTGTTGGTGGTACCTTTATTTTATACAAATTAGTCCATTAGCCAAGTGGGTATAACATATTGCTAAACACAATTTTTCCTTTGTATGTAGAGTTTCCATGAACATTGAGGTTTCTCAGTACTCCTGTTGCCTGTGATTTCTTTCTATTTTGTTTCCAGCAGAAAACTCCCCTTTCCGCTGAACTGCAGGGTTCTGCTGAATATTTCACTCAGTCCCCACGCAGAACCAACACAAACAGCTATCCCACATGACAAACTGGTGCAGAATAACCAGTAAAGATCCTCAGTCTGATCAGAGAAAGACAAGCAAGCTTGCTTTGTTATTTTGAACGTGAAGGAAAAAGAGCATTTGAATCACAGCTTTGGACTTTACCAACTGCTGCAGACTGCTCTTGGAAACAATGACCTGAATTTGACATCCCTCTGGATTTATCTAGATGGAAATAAAACTAGCCTTTTAAAGAAATAGTATCTCATGAAGAAATATGATTGATGAGTTTGACTTAGAAATACATGTATGTTGGTATTACAAGTGTTGCCAGTAGCTTTCTATGTACATTAAAACATGTCAGGCAGACACCCCTCCACCCCAATAAATAAATAACAAAAAGAAATGTAGAATTTCTGAGAAGAAAAGTGAAGAGGTTTGCCTTGGAACTATCTTTGGGATATGACCAGCTTATTCTTGGGTATCTTCAGAAGTGCTTTTGCTTGATATAACATGCTACCATACAGCTTTTGTCTGAATTTATGTTGGATGACCCCATCTCTGGAGATATTTAAGGCCTGTCTGGACACCTACCTGGACAGCCTGCTCTAAGGAACCTGCTTTGGCAGGGGGATTGGACCCGATGATCTTTCAAGGTCCCTTCCAACCCCTACAGTTCTGTGATTTTCTGTGATTCTCTGCGATCTGCCACTTACTTTCCCATTGCCACAAGTGTCACAAAACAGCCACAGAATGAGCCAAACTTGGATGCATTATTTGATAAATATGCAGGTGTTGCAGTGCTTTCCACTTTGCCTTACAAAGGAAAGACAACATGATGTTTTCCTCCTTATCTTTTCTTCCTTCTTTTTCTTAAAATCTTTTTTATTATTTTAATTATGTCAAAAATAATCTTATTTTCCCTTAAACTAATATTCTTCACAAAGGTAGCAGAAGCCCTAGCTTGAGAATATCAATAAAAGTTTCAAGTTTTTGAAAATAAAAATACACCACCAACAAACAACAACAACAAAAAATTAGACATTCTTTTTGAGAATAATAAGAAGCTATGTCCTTAAGTTTAAAAACGTATCCAACCCTAAAGAAATGTATATGTATTTTCAATCATTATACAAATATTCAAAGGCATCAGTGTAAATTGGTATGTGGCTGTATAGCTGAAATTAATTATCAATTGAATTTGTATCTATCTTGATTCAATTCACAATTTAATTTGCAAAAGATGTATTTTTATTCATCTATGCCTTAAAATTCAAGAACAGCTTCCCACTAAGAAATGCTATTTACTCTACATTTAACAACAGAAATTGTGTTGCATTCATTTTTATGTCCTTAAAAACTAGTCTACAAAAATAAGGAGATAGCAGAATCAATACTCCACTACTCCACTCGAGTAATACATAAATCTGAGTACCATTAAATACTGGAAGTCTATATTTACAAATGACTTACCTCAATAGCAGGATATAAATTATCAATTGTAAATAGCTCTAAAGGAGAGTTCAGAACTTCGTGAGGAAAAAAAAAAAAAAAAAAGGAAAAAAAAAGTGAATCAGGGAACAAAAATAACTAACCAATTCAGCTTACTGCTTTAGCTGACAAATATCCTCTTAGAAAAGTATTATCCTGAACCATTTAGTAATAAAAGCATAAATATATGAAACTAGCTCACTAAGTGATGAAGACCATTCAAGTTTTACTATGTGCTATTCTGTCATCAATAACTTTAAACTTTGCTGGTTGGTATACATTTGTTTTGTTTAACTACTAGGTTTTAATCTAATTATTTCAAACTGTCTCAGGCAAAACTAATAGCAACAATAAGGAGTTGAAGTTACAGCCACTTCACCTGCACTAATGCATACAAATGTTGTCCTCTGGGAGGCTTCTAATTAGCACCTGAATAACCTCAGGTTCCAAGCATTTAATTGGCTTGGGTTTACTGCATACTAAAGGAATCAAGTGCTAGGGTTATTTTTATTTGAGCTCCATGTATGCTGAATATCCTAGTATCACCCCACCAAGCAGAAGACAAACTGGCCCCCTTTTTGGTGAAATGACATTTTCTTTTTTTTTTTTTAGACAGAGAAGTTAAAGGGCATAAAGGACTCACGTAGGTAGGGATGTTTTTGCAGGTTGAAGGCATGAGACAGGTTCAAGATATTGAGGGCCAAGGTCAGCTTTTAGATACCAGAAGTGAATAAAAGGGGTGCAATAAATAAATTGACCAGTATTTGTTCCACAGATTAAACTCCATTTCTGAATTTCCGGCCAAGACATATCTTTCCCTTGTGCTTACTCTAGGAATGAATGACCAGAAAAGGGACCTTTTTCCACATGCCCTACTCATTAGCCACAAAACTTACCAAAGGTTATAGAACTGAGGGGAGGAAAAAGGACAATTCATGATAAATGCATATACAGATCATAAATGGCAACCAGCTTTTTTGTGACAAATTACTGCAGAACAAAAAGTTGAGAAACAATTGGCCCTTGTATTTAGATGTGTCCCAAAAGCAAAGGGAGAAGAAATGTCTTCAGACACAGCCCTAAGTGCCCTCTGAGGAGCCAGCCTTAAAAGAAGTATCTACATTGGTAATTACTATATACCAACAAGCCAATGGACTTGATCCTAATGCACCAGAAATGTCAGGTTGATTGCAGCCAGAGGAGAAAAAGCTGGCAGTAAAAAACACAGAAAGCTGCAATGTGTTAACACAGCCCTATCACCAGGATCACACCGGGTGCTGTAGGCAGCCTGCATGATGCCTACCTGAAGAGATGGGAATAGGCACACTTGTGAAGACTGTTGAAATCAAGGAAGAAGGGGAGAGAGGAGTTAGGTGTTAAAGAAGAATGAAGAGGAGGGGGGGGGGAAATATTTTTTTTCCCTTTCTGTTCAGAATCCAGAAGAAGAAGCAAGACCAAAAATATAAATTATTTTTCCAGTCAGTTTCAGGGAAAAAAAGTAGAAGGGAAAGTAGCTCAGACACAAGCCACTATTCCAGATTACTCAAGAAGTGCAACTTGAACTTTGAAAACCCCTTACCCCACTCACACCTCTGAGGCCACCAGGGAAAAGGCCCACCCCTGGGCAGGGGTCAGAATTGCCTGCAGACAGCTACAGAGAACAGGCACTTGCTCTACAAAGGCAGCAGTGGGCAGTTCACTGATAGTTATAAAGCACAAAGGCATATTTCAATTGAAAGTGTTGGGTATTCTGGACTTGAATGATACTGAATAATGCTGGATATCAGAATAATGCTTATCTCATGTCTGGCAAAGTGATACACACACTCAATA